CGTGTGTCGCTTGCGCGTGTGGCAGGTCACACGTTTCCGCTGCCGTGCGTGCGTGGCGTGGCGTGTTGTGGCGATGTTACAGGTACACGGTTGTGCATATTGCACGTAGCGGCGGACGTCAGTGCGGCAACGTTTACACGTGCGTGCATGAGTGGTGTCTCATGTGTTGTGTGCGGTGCGCACGTACACGTGCGTGCGGTGTGCGTGCTGTACGTTACAAACGTTGCGTGGGCGTTGCGTGTTTGAACTTACACGTGGGCGTTTGCACATTGCTGTGCCGTTGCGTCGGCGGTGTGTGCACGTTACACCTGTCGCGTTCGCGCGCGTGCTCCCACGTGTGCTGGACGCGGCTGCTGTGCAAGTTTACACGTTCGTGTGCATGTGTTTGCGTTTGCGCTGCCGTACTGCGCTGCGTTGCCATTGGCATCTACAACGTCAGACGTGGCGCACTGTGGCAAGGGGTGGCGGTGACGTGTGCACGTACACGTGGCCGTGCATGGGGCGTGCAGTCGACATCTCGCGTTTGCGGCTGCGTTGGCGTGCGTTGCACGTTACCCTTACGTGGTGCATGAGTATGATGTGTGTGCGTTGCGTGCCGGTGCGTGCGTGCGTGCGATGCGTGCGTGCCGTCGCGTTTCGCGTGCGTGTGTTCGCTACACCGTGCGTTTCGGCGGTAGTGCTTGTATTCGAAACAATATCACGCATCTTTGCTTGCTGCCAAAACCGTTAAAAAACTGCACGCATGTGCGGATATGACGTCAATTGTTTATCAACATGACAACAAACAAAAAACCATCAACTCATTCAGGGCCTAATATATACTATATAATATTATATTATATATATCGCGTCATGGTCATTATAATTAGTTTTGTGGGGGGTTTCAATGTCATTTAGGTTAGGGTTTAGGTAGTTAGGTTTAGCGGTATGATTATTCAATTCCGATCAATCATTAATCATTAAATCCATTTAATGATTATCAAAAAGTTGGGGAAACACTCTAAATGGCAGCGTTAGGCCTGAAGTTTAATCCAACAAACACAGACCATGCTGTCTATTCATTTAGTTTGATGTCTTTAATTTCACATTGGTTTTCTCTTTCCTGCTCATCTTATATTATTGGTTTCTATTTATTATGACCTATACGTCTATTGCAATTAACCTGCACTCGGAATATTGATGGCTGCTTAGCACGCGGTTAAATTGACTTCCAATTGCACAACTCCCTCCTGGTACGCCGGGGCGCCATGCAGGGACCATGGGCTCAATTTCTGTCAACCGGTTCCAACAAACTCAATTTGATAAACACAAAACCTCAAATTCTGTCGACCCCGGTATCCACAGAAACTCAATATTTTGTAAACACAAGAACTCAATTCCTTGCTGTTCGAAGCCGCGTTTCCACAAAAATACTCAATTTTGTAAAACACAAAACTCAATTCTGTCAATTCCTGTTCCACAAAAAAACTGCAATTTATGTGAACAACAAAATCCAATTCTGGTCAATTCCTGGTCCCACACAAACTCAATTTTCTGTTAAACACAAACTTTCAATTCTGTCGAAACCGGTTTCACCAAAATACTCGATTTTCTTGTTTGTCCCAAATTATGCGTCACACGGCATGTAAGACAAGGGGCTTTTACCACTTGGTCAGAAGAAACAAAATCGATGGGCGGGGGACCCATGCGACCGCAATTTCTCCAGCCCATAGTTTCTGGGCACCAATGGGTAGCCTTCTTACCATGCGTGTGGCCATTAATTTGCGCGGCAACAACACTCGAGTTTTGTTGGAACCGGTTCGACAGAATTGAGTTTTTGTGTTTACATAAAATCTTTGGAGTTTTGTGCGGAACCGGTTCGACAGAATTGGAGTTTTGTGTTTTTTTATACAAAATTGCAGTTTTGTGACCGGTTTCGAAGAATTGGAGGTTTTCTCGTGTTCTCACAAAATTGCAGTTTTTGTGTGGACAGATTGGTACAGAATTTGACAGAATTGAGTTTTGTGTTCACAAAACTCATTTTTGTCAAGTTTATAGGTACAAAAATGCCTGTCCTGCATGACGCCCCGTACCTGGGGCCTCCTCCATGTGTCCATAAACAACATACCCTCTGTAATTCCGGGGGAGACATGTGTGTGTGTTTGTGTGTGCGTGCGTGCGTGCGTGCGTGCGTGCGTGCGTGCATGCGTGCGTATAAACGTTTGCCTACAATACCCCACATTTTAGAATAAAAAAACGTTGTACTTACATCCAAAGTGTGTAAAAGAGTGCCACTGGATAATCACAGCCCACGTACTGAGCTACGCCTGCTTTAAATAATGCGATAAAGAACTGGATCTGCAACACAAACAAAAACATCTTAAAGGGTCACTCAGAGGAAATTCCCATAGTGCCTGCACTATACTCCATTACAGTGTACACCCGAGAAAAATTATAAAAGTCTCCTGTATGCACAGGTATTTGTTCTATAGAGGTGTTCACCAACACACATATATACAACTGTGTCTACAAATAACCACTGGCAGCAAGAACCAGGGTGATACTCCATTAGGAGTGTTCCCAACTTTAATGTCATTAATGGTCATAATAACATATATATACTGTGGATATATATATATTGGTCATATATTAGTTTGTGGTTTAATGTTATTTAGGTTAGGGTTAGGGTTAGGGTTAGAGTTAGGGTTAGGATTATCAATCATTAATCATTAATGATATCAAAGTTGGGAACACTCCTAATGGAGCGTTAGCCCGGACCTGCACCTGCACATGACATGACACCTGCACCTGCACCTGCAGCTACAGCACATACGCGGCCATTGACTATATATATACTACATATAGTCATATATAGTAGTATAGTAGTATATATATAGTCAATGGCCGAATGTGTGCTGTAGCTGCAGGTGCGGACTGGTTCTTGCTGCCAGTGCAAATAACAGCAAACTTAAACGAACTTTGAATAAATGTTCTCTCGCTTAATATAGCCAAACAATCTCCACTTGCTGCGAAAGAAGTCACAATAATTCACTGCATTATGGAACGTACTAGTTGTATTCTCGTTAGATATTCCTTCCACCACAGGTACTTGCGGGTGGATGGCACAAGCGACAGACCATAATATGAGTACATGAGCACGTGAACCAGGCTGTTTATGGAAGCTCCAAACCAGGCTGAAAAATATATACAGTATAAATATCAATATGTGATCAGTGCCGGGCACATAACATCCGATGCTGCAGAAAGTGTATATGCATAAACTGACTCACGTGAAATGCACTACTGACGTGATCGAGATAACAATATAATGGTGATTTTTAATTGAATTCAATCTTAAGATATACGAATAGCACAATAAATTATGCATAACGTTTTATCACACTTTAAAAAAAACTTTTTATAAAATGTCGGTTTATTCCCGGTTGGCCTACTCCCATTTCGCTTACAGAAAAATTCCCATTTCGCTTACAGCAAAATTTCCAGTTGGCCTACACCCATTTCGCCTACTCCCAATTCGCCTACCCTCAAAATCGACCCCATTTCCATTTCGTCCACGATCGGTTTGTTCACTAAATAATCATTTATAAATAATATAATATGGTTTTGATTGTCATACATAGACTACAGGAACCAGAAGAAAACATAGGAAGGGTCTACAATTAATGAGAACACAACTTGACAAAAATAGAAAATACATGCAGCAGCATAAAAATGTACCAAAATTCAACATAGTCTGATAATAATATAAAATTATAATAATAAAATAATGTAATATTTAATATTAATATAATTTAATTTAATAATTTAATATAATCTAATACATATTTGTGGAAGTTTTTCTGTTCGTCTGTTCTCGATTCAATTCAATATCGGCCACTCTAAATATGTCCTAGGATGGCCATTACATGTAACTTTGGATACTTTGGAACATGGGCGCATTGGATTTGACCTCTGAGGTCATCTGACATCGCAAAACAAAAAAAATGATGAAAAAATCATGCCCCTGCAGCAGCGTTACATCAACGCACCCCTGTAGCGGTAAATAAACCGGCCCACATGCAGACGGGATTCACTTTGCACTGACTTGCATGACTGTCATGTCATTGTTGTATCAACACTCACCTTGCACCGACTTGATACAGAGTGTGCAAGACTATACGTAGCACTATTATAGACTATAGAGTGTGATAGATAAATAGGTAGATAGATAGATAGATAGATAGATAGATAGATAGATAGATAGATAGATAGATAGATGTATATATAGATAGATAGATAGATAGGTAGGTAGGTAGGTAGGTAGGTAGGTAGGTAGGTAGGTATTTTTTTTTGTTTTTTGTGTTTTTTTCGATAGGATAGATAGATAGGTAGGTAGTAGGGTAGGTAGGGTAGAGTAGGGTAGATAGATAGATAGATGATAGGTAGGTAGCGTAGCCGCTGAGTAGGTGGGTGGGTGGATGGATGGATGGATGATGGAGTGGCATGGGTGGCATGGATGGATGGATGGATGGCAGGACTGGATGGATGGATGGATGGATGGATGATGGATGTATGGAAGTGGATGGATGGATGGAATGGATGGCATGGATGATGTCATGATGGATGGATGGAATTAAATGATGCATGATGATGGGGATGGATGGATGGATGGATGGATGATGGATGGATGGATGGATGGATGGGATGGATGGATGGATGGATGGATGGATAGATGGTATGATGGAATGGATGATGGATGGATGAAAGAAAAAAGAGGAACCCAGACAACAAAAATCCCGCACCCCAAACCACTCGGATAAATCACAATAAATACAAAAAAAGAAAACACCGAAAAGCGAGGATGGGATGGATGGATGGATGGAGAGATGATGGATGGAGGATGGATGGATGGCATGGCATGAGATGGATAGGATGCGATGATGGAGGATGGATGGATGATGGCATGCATGATGGATCGGATGGATGGCATGGAGGATGGATGCGATGCGATGGATGCGATGGATGGATGGATGCGATGATGGATGGATGGATGCGAGGATGCGATGGCCATGGATGGATGGGATGATGGAATGCGTATGGATGGATGGATGGATGGATGGATGGATGGATGGATGGATGGATGGATGGATGGATGGATGGATGGATGGATTTGTCTTCTATGAAGGTTAATTAAATTTTTTAGCGGGGGTGGCCCTCGCGAAAATGTCGGCATAACCCATGAGAGCCCAAAATCTAAAATGGCCGTCGTCTGCCATTTTGAAAAACATATTTTCAATGGTTTAGCCTACAGTGCTGCTCATTATATGGTTTCTGGGGTTTCTTGGGTCGAGAAATTCATATTTGATGTCGGTGTGATGGTTTGACCTAGTCTTGACCTTCAAATCCAAGATGGCCGCCGATTTTTAGCTCACAAAGGTCAATTTTCAAATTCGTCATAGTGTCTTCATAATAGGCTCTAATGAAAGCTCTCTTCATGTTGAGTTGAGTGATGGACAGTAAAACTACAATAACCTTCAAACGCCACCCGGGATCGTCTCACACGGCCAGTCGAGTCAACGTCAGCGCTGTCAGATCCTTTCGCAAATGACATCATATACCACCATGCCTGTTGGCTGAAGTACGTCAATCACACAAAGTTCAAGCCAGATAATGCAATTTATCTTCAGAATGTGTGTCTCTAAGAAGCGAGCTCATCTTCAATGAGCACGAAATCCGTTCACTGCCGTCTCTCTTAGCAGACTACAAACGCATTCTCAGTGACTATGGCTATCCAGTGGGTGATGTCAAATCGATGTATCTCAAGGACCTGCTCATTATTGAGTATCAAAAGACAATTGGCTTCAAAGACAGAATTGAGATGAACAAGAGCGAGTGCGTCTATGATGTTCGCGGTAGAGGTGACTACATTGAGGCTGCCATGTCATCCCTTGGCATCAGCGATGAGCAGCCCTTCCAGAACCTGGCGACTTTCTATGACGATAAAAGACACATTACCGTTCCCTGGCCAACTCGTGTTGATAATCCCGAAGAAGGCGAAGGGGTGTGTGAGTTGCTGGTGCAGCTGTTCGCCTGGCTAAAACAACCTAACCGAAAAACTGCCGATCTCAGCCCTACCACACTCAGTCTAGCCTCCATGATGACCTACTACATCACGGAACAGCGCACTACCACTGTTATCAACATGGGTGTCAATTTCGGGTGTCATCGTCCATGGCATGACAAGGAGTAAAGATCTGGTGGAAACAATGCACAAGAGCGGCGTCTGCATAAGCTACGCAAACACGCTGCTCCTCTAGGACCACTGGGCTTTGTTGGATGTTGAGGCATCAGCAACCTGCCCGCAGGAGATAGCAGATGGCAAACCAGCCATTGTGATTGTTGACAACGATGACTTCAAGATTGATTCTATGACAGGCAATCAATGCAGCAGGAGCTCATCAACAAATGTTATGCTCGTGCAGCCCCAGAGCTATGAAAGGAAACCTAACGAGGAGCCTCCTGCAAAGCTCGTCAAGAAGGACATTTCTGCACAGCTGAAGCAAGCGTGGGCAGAGCTGACTGAGGTCAGACAATATAGATGCCACATGGTAGCAAAAGTGAGCCACCAGCTCGTTCCATGATAGATGCACCAGTAAATGGCATGGCTCCGCAGCGTGTTCGCTCTGTGATACATGCACTGCCTCAGGTCCGTAGCCAGCTTTATATTAGGGTGGTTCGTTTTTCAATGTTGGCAATTTGCTCGGCAGGGGCGTGTACAGGATTTGTACCAGGGGGGGTCTAAACGTAACCCAAAGTTGCGAGCACGCGAAGGGTGGGTCCGGACTCCCTAGACCCCCCCTGTACACGCCCCTGCTTGGGCGCGAAGCGACCAGGCAAGGGAGCCAAGCGACCGAGCGGGAGGAGGGTGTGGGAGGGGGGTGTTCACTGTTTACCCTCCCGCACGAATGAGATTTTGCAATTATTACACTAAAATGGAGCGACCTGAGGTGAAATTCTTGCAAATTTTCAAAATTTTGCAAGGGGGGGTTTGTTTGACCCCCCCCCCTGGCTACGGGCCTGCTGTCTCGTGCAGACAACGGTACAAGACCAGCACCTGATAAACAGCGGGTTCCAGCATACAGTGGTGTCCAGTCCTGCCACCATCAACCACCCAACAAGAGCAAGCCATACTACCACACGACCCACAACGAACCTCCAAGCAAATCAGTGGTGCATGACATTATGGTGAAAGTAGTGGAGGCTATGCGGAACAAGAGTATTCCATTCTCCTTTCTCGTTGGTGACATGCCCACCTACAAGACGACCGTGCAGCTCAATGCGGAGAATCCGGAATTGTTCAAGGACATCATCCCGATTCTTGGTGCGTTCCACCAGCAGATGTCCTACATCTATGCTATCTATAAGGGATTTAAGGGCTCTGGCATGGCAGACACTTTGGTTACAGCAGGGATAGTAGTGGGGGTCTGTTGACCAAGCACTACGAGGGAAGCACTACAGACGGGGTGTGCGCTGCATCATGTTCTGGAGAAAGGCTCTTATCCATACACGTCTGAGAAAAATTCTTGAGCATGGAGAACTATCAGAAGACATCAAGCTGAACCTTGACATTCTGCACAGTGCACTCACTGAGACCCAACAGGCTCTATATAATCTCGCGCACAATAATCTCCAGGATGATGATGACATAAAGGAGCTGATTAACAAAGTTTAGGATAAACCTGGCACAGACATGGGAGACTTCTGGGTCTCGTTCATGGAAATGACGGACCCTGTTGTCCAAAATATTGATGCATGTCATGCACGAAATGGCTCAGAGTACTTATCATCAACATACGACATGTTGGCTGGACTCATGGCATATGACAACCATGACTATGGGAGGTGGTTGCCAGATTATTGGGCGATGTTGTCTTCGCTGTCAAATGAGCAAATGGCCTTCTTCAACGATCACTTTGCACAGTCGATGACAGGGCTACCCTACTCTTGCCAGCCACTGGACCTTTGGATAGAAACGACAATGAATCTAAACTCGAAGCTAAAACAAGGATGGCTTCAGCTTCTGCAGAATGAGAAGCAAATGTTCTCAACAACAAGGAATGCAAACAATGTCGCGAGGGTTAAAGCCACTGTGAATCAGAATTTCAAGTGCCAGCGTCGCCATAGAAAGCATGTTGAGTGCCAACCAGCAAGAATGAAAAAGGATGAGCAGACAGTTCAGGACCTGCGGGCATGCATGACAGAGTTTGAAGCTGAGCCATTTGATGAATCCAAACCAACACTGAGGTCACTACAGTCTAGCCTGGTCGCCTCACCGGAGCTTGTCCATGACCTCAAGATCAAGCTACCAGATGGTCAAACTCAGGCTGAAACCCTCCTGCAAGAGCAAGTGTTCACCAAACCCATCCAAGCATCCGTCCCCCATTGGCCATGGTTGGGAAATCATGAATGGGAAGTGCCGACCAGTGCGCCACACTGCCACCCTTGCCCCACCAGCTCACACCTCGTGACTGTTTAGATGATAGCAGCGATGAGAGTAGTTGCGATGATGACAACGAGTTTGGAGAGCCAAGAGATTCCGATGAGAAATAGCGATCTATTAGTTACTAATCATTGTTAAGTTGTAAATTTAGGGTTAAAATACATTGTACTTTCGTAGAATAAAATGGATATCAGCCATTCCACCGTGACTCGCGACATTTCTACAAAAAATTCAACTTGTAATAATCTGCCAGTCCTATATTAGTTTGCTGCTACTTGTTAAAAAAAAACTATTTTAGCAAAGGTACCAGTTATGCATATTTTAGCATTGAAATTATTGCAGCCACACTAATATTTTCTCGGATATCACAAACTATTGTGCGTGACTCGCGTGACGGGTTACTAACACATGTTTTGAAGTATACTTCACAATTTAGACTTTTCGTAGAATACTATCAGGTTTATCTGAGTTTATCTGAGTAGTTCACCAGGTACCCAATACCCTTGACCACTCCGTGCAACATTTGGATTGCTATAAACCTCATCTGAAGTGAGCAACATTCTTCTAAGTATGTGACTCGCGTGACACTATTCTGTGACTCGCGTGACATAGTAGCTCATAGCATTAATTAACAAATGTTAGGGTAATCAGAATTTTGAAGACTAAAATGTTATGACCCATGAAGAAAAAGTCAATACTTAGTTACTACCATGTGATAACAAGGAAAATATTGTATGCTGACAATCCATGCATAGCGTATGTACCATTCTTCTTATACAAAGCTGAGACTTACAATATTTCACCTGTTTTCACAATGAATCATATGGTACATTGGTAGAAACTAAGTATTAACTTTTTCTTTACGGATCAAAGCATTTCAGTCATCAAAATTCGAATTACCCTAGCATTTGTTAATGCTATGAGCTACAATGTCACACAAGTCACATACTTAGAAGGATGTTGCCTACTTGAAGAAAGGTTTCTAGCAATGCAAACGATGTAGGCCCTATGGAGTGATGAAGGGTATTGGGTACCTAGTTCACCAGGTATAACTCAGATCAAACTTATAATATTTTACAAAATCTCTTAGGTGTGAAGTATACTTCAAAACACGTGTTCGTAGCCCGTCACGCGAGTCACGCAGAATGGTTTGTGATATCCTATTTTTATTTTTATTGGTAACTTTCATGTGGTTCTATGTTCAAAGTAGTTCTACATGTCAGTGCTTACTTCCCACATTGTATATTTGTTTAAAAAGACATCATTCCTCTCATAATGATCAACAGTGCATGCAGGTGACTCGAGTGACAGCCCATAAATGTGACTCGCGTGATATATGTGAGGTAGTTTTTTTTTGCAGGATTGAAAAATAAATAAAAATGTATTCAACTAAACTGAAAAGGTAGCATTAGAAGAATTACCAGTAGCATTTGTTGCTATCCGTTTTATTTTCTTCACATACTTAAAAATTCTACTTTTTGTGTGATTCGAGTGACACATTTTGAGGATGTTTTCATCATATCAATTACAGGGAATTTAATGCTGATGCGAATTAATAGGCATCCTAATTTTTTATGAAATATGATGTATTAGCTACTTAATAAAGGCTGGCTTATTCATAACTGAAGCTTTAGATAATAGAAGTTTTTCTGATTATGAGAAGCACGTTTAACCACATTTGCCGTCATTAAATTCACCCACATTCAAGAAGCTGTGATTCTTTAATAAAAGGGCCTATTTACATGAAATTTTAGATTTAAACCATTTCATTATTTCTCTTAATAACAAAAATTCATGTCACTAGCTCTCACTTCAGTTTTCAACTTTGGTGTATACACTTACGTGGAATGGCTGATATACATTTATTTAACCTCTGCGATAAAGTTTATGTACTTGTACTGTCCATCACTCAATTCAACATGAAGAGAGTTTTCATTAGAGCATATTATGAAGACACTATGACGAATTTGAAAAATTGACCTCTGTGAGCTGAAAATCGGCGGCTATCTTGGATTTGAAGGTCAAGACTAGGTCAAATCATCAAACCGACATCAAATATGAATTTCTCGACCCAAAAAAAACAGAAACCATATACTGAGCGTACGTAGGCCAAACCATTGGAAATATATTTCTCAAAATGGCAGACGACGGCCATTTTGGATTTTGGGCTCTCATGGGTTATGCCCACACTTTCGCTAAAGACACCTCTGCTAAATTTTTTATCATAAATCATAGAATACAAATCCACTGAGAAACGAACTTTCGCTCGATCTCCACGGTCACGGAATTGCTCCAGATGACCCAACTATAAGTGGTAGATGAAATAACACTATTATATTATTTATTAGAAGAGTAGACTAAATGGGAGTAGGCGAAATGGGAATATTGCCGATTCTGAGTGTAGACGAAACGAAATGGGACGTCCGTAGGCGAAATGAGCGTAGGCGAAATGGGAGTTAGCAGGCCTAGACCAACTGGGGTGTTACCAAAGAATGACGCTAACTTTCGGACGTTAGAATTCTATGGAAGGCCATTACCGCCAAAATCTACCTATTTTAATCGCGCTTAAAATGTATTTTAAGCGCGATTGAATTCCAGCCAATCAGAACAATGGTTTTTAATCGCAATTAAAATAGATTTTAAGCGCGATTAAATTCCAGCCAATCAGAACAGTGGGTTTTAATCGCGATTAAAATAGATTTTAAGCGCGATTAAAATAGGTAGGTTTTTGTGCGTGTGTGTGTGTGCGTGTGTGTGTGTGTGTGTGTGTGTGTGTGTGTGTGTGTGTGTGTGTGTGTGTGTGTGTATGTCGTGTGTGTGTGTGAGTGTGTGATGTGTGTGTGTGTGTGTGTTTTGTGTTGTGTGTTGTTATGGGTGGTGGGTTGTGCTGTGTGTGTGTGTGTGTGTAGGTGTGTGTGTGTGTGTGTGTGTTTGTGTGTGTGCTGTGTTGTGTGTGTTATTTATTGCGTTACTTATCTGATAGGCGGATATTCTATTCATTGTACATAGATTCGTTTGCAAACGAAGGCGTTGATAATTTCATGAGTCAACTTATCAAATTCACAATCCAAAGAGCAAATGGCAATGAATCACAACTAAACCATGCGCGTGTGCTATGTAAACAATTGTATGTAGTGCAATGCTGACAGTATAAACAATTATTTTTATTTCATATTTTTTATTATTAATTATTATTATGCTGTGTGTGTGTGTGTCAGTTCTATATAGGACGTTATGCTATCGCTGTTTATTGTAATATTAATAATCACAATTATAACCATACTGTTATAAATCCCGCCCCTGTCAGTGCTGTGCTGGACTATATCTTACTATATGCTTAATATTCTATACGTATATTACAGCCGTGATAAAGCATGCTACGTCCGGCCTAGTAGTAAGGAACGAAGTAATCCGGCACATATATGTGTGTATGGTGTATGGTACACAGCATGTGACGATCATCACCGTTCAGACGGCCTTCATAACCATACGCTGACACACAAATCAACCGATGGTTCACACCCCCAAACCCTCTTCCATTACACACATACACACACACAAAACGACACACACACACCACACACACACGACGGACACCACAACACACCAACAAACACACACACACACAGCTACCACAATTTAATTGTGCTTAAAATCTATTTTAATCGCGATTAAAAACCACTGTTCTGATTGGCTGGAATTTAATCACGCTTAAAATCTATTTTAATCGCGATTAAAAACCACTGTTCTGATTGGCTGGAATTTAATCGCGCTTAAAATCTATTTTAATCGCGATTAAAAACCACTGTTCTAATTGCCTGGAATTAAATCGCGCTTAAAATACATTTTAAGCGCGATTAAAATAGGTAGGTTTTGGCGGTAATGGCCTTCCATAGAATTCAGTTATTAGGTGGGGTTAGAGTTAGGTTTATAGTCGGTTCGCTTAGGGTTAGGGTTAGGGATTATAGGTTAGATCAATCATGATCACAGTGATAAAGATAATGATTAATTACTTACGGGGGTCCTAAAGTTTGATTGTGCCATAAATTATTTATATTTGGTTCAAACAGAACAGCCACCATGTCACTGTCAGAAAAACAAAAGAAAAATAAACACGTGCTTTACATAATAACAAGAGTCCATAATAGATCTTTTTTTTTATTATGGACTCTTGATAATAATCAGATTAATAAAAAAAACGATTTAAAATAAATTATTTTGCATCCCTGAATGCTGTGCACCCACCTTCTCCCTGAGGAGCGATCTTCATGACAAAGTACCAGTTGACAAACATGGAGGAATGATGGTAGACGTGCAAGAACGTGATCTGTCTGTTCTTCTTCCGCAGCACCATGAACAGTGTGTCAGCAAGCTCAATCACCTTGGAGATGTAGTACCACCATTGCACATTGACCACCTGCACACAAACGTGTAAACACCCATGTTTCTTCTCCAGATTGAACTTCACTAATCCGTAATTAAACAGTTCAGTATAGCTTCGATGGTTAAAAACGACGGTTCTGTATTTAAGGTTACTCTCCACCTTTTGCACGGGTATTGCTATAATGAAGATTAAACGTTTATTGACGAATGAGTCGAATCAATCACACGTTTTATTTATAGAGGAGATATATCTCTATGCTCAAGCCAAAAAAATTCATGAAATTTCCAGCACCTAATGCTGCCACACAAATTTTGAATTTTTATGTAAAAGTTTTATTTTGGATATTTCTCAATTACCACAAAGAGTGAGGAAGCAAAAGTTTCGCCACAGGTTAAGCACAATATGTACCAAAATAGCACATCAGGATTTTTCTTTACGTTTCATATTTACTGAAAAAATTGAAAAAAAACTCTTAAAAATCAAGTTGTGTGTTAGAATCGAAAATTTTAGCGAATAAAGAGCCATAACTCATAAAATACGGCACTTAATAACAATCCCTGATGCGCTTTTTTACAGCAATATTTTACCATCAAAACGAGTGTAAGATGCTGAATGATACTGGCTTTATGAATATCGTGAAAACTCAGGTTGTATCATGTCTCTGACGTCATCAGCCACGGCTCACTACACGTGTACGTGGGCAATCGAAATGCTCTGAAAGTTCACATGTATCGTTATATTATGAAGAAATAAATATGTACAGAGGTGGCACCTAGTGTTAGCCATCGAGTAAGAATAAAAATGAAAAATCGGTAAAATTTTGCCTAAAACCTGGAGAGTAATGTAGCGGTTAGTATATTGTTACGTAGTTGTACCGTTTATAGTTTTGTTTCACGAGAGGTGGCGCTGGCAGGCGGTTGTTACATGGGAGAGTGACGCGAAAGCGAAGAAAGGAGAGATGCTTTTGTGAATAGACGGATATTTTTTGGGAAATAACAAGTTTTAATTACATCCAGATGAGATGGGATACCAGAGAAGTGTTGCCGAAAGGAGGTGTTGATCCTAGCCGCGGCAAGGCGCACGCGACCGCGGGAACGTCCTACGAATGTATGCAGCGCTGGCAGCTATGGATCCATGCGCCGAATGCATAGGTCGGCGTACGAATCCATAGCTGCCAGTGAACAGTCCGGAATTTTAGCGGGGGACAGAGAGGGCAGACATTTGGGACGTGGGAGGAACTCGCGACTTAGATGGGGGGTCGTACAAATAGGGGGCGACAGCGAAGCTTTTGATTTCACCGTGGTTCCATTTCCGTGTGGTCTTAGGCGTTTTGACTATAAGTTCCAATCATAAAAACTTGGAAACATAATAAA